GGGAAAGAGAAAAAACATATGAAATTCACTTAAAATAGGCTAAAATACAGTGCACGTGGTATGAAACCATGTTCAAAAATGGTTCTGCTGGAATGCCTTCTCAGTTCTCTGCTGCCACATCTGAAACAGGGCAGCCTCCTTCCTGTTTCAACTTCATTGCCACACATCCTATTCCCAGATTCTGCCTAAAGACTAGCCTAAACAGTTGCTTTCTTAGCTTTGAACTTCGGGTGCAAGATAAGGAATGGGAGGAAAACAGGGCTGCCCTTCATGGTCCTCCACAAATACAGCATACCCGAGAGGAAGTTTTTGATTTTTTCTAAGCCAAGGTGACATCACTGACACGACACTGCTTTTCCTTTTTTTGTGTGGTACGCGGGCCTCTCACTGTTTTGGCCTCTCCCGTTGCGGAGCACAGGCTCTGGACGCGCACGCTCAGCGGCCATGGCTCACGGGCCCAGCCACTCCGTGGCATGTGGGATCCTCCCAGACCGGGGCACGAACCTGTGTCCCCTGCATCGGCAGGCGGACTCTCAACCACTGCGCCACCAGGGAAGCCCGACACTGCTTTTTAGAAGCTGACCCTACCCGCCCCACCCACTAGAAAGTGATGGTGAAAATATTATGCTTCCTCTATTTTCATGCTTTCCAAACTGCTGGTACAATCTATTAGGAAGTTGTAAAAATCAATTCGGCAGGCTATGAACAGCATTTTTAAAAATTAATAAAATGAAGTAGAAAATGGTAGAAACACATTGCAAGTAGTAAGCATGAGTTTTATATACTGGGTTGTGACATTTTACGCTTCTTACTGTGGGTTAGAGCAAAACTTTGAAAACCACGGACCTAGAGGGTATATATACTTCAACCCCAGATGTAGTCTGTATCCTAAGACCCTCCATCTGACACATTATTCCAACAATATTCTACAGTTCCCTTTTAGTGCTCCTCTAGGAAGCAAGACTGATGTATAGAGCCCACTGGTAGTCACCGAGCAACTTTTTGTATAGAAAGATGCATTTGACAAAGAAGGGCAAATATTTAATACAGCAGAGTTTGGTAGCAAGTGTTTTTTTGTTTTGTTTTGTTTTGTTTGTGGTAGCAAGTGTTTTGATGAAATATTTTTATTGTAGAGACAACTGTTAAATAACAAAGCTAAATATGCCCTACCATCTCCCCCTAAATATGTAAGGTTATGTTAAAGCACATCCACGCTTATCTTTTCTATCCTATGTTAAATCAAATTATAACAAAAATCAGCAAATGAAGTCCCCTGCTAACAGATTTCCTACATTAGTAATTTCGGGCAAGTCAATCCAGCAACGTTCCAGAATAAAAGAACTCACGATACCTTCTTGGCTTTTGACTTCTTGCTCCTTGGCCAAACACTGCATTTACCCTTTAACCTCATTGGGAGTATCTTTTTAGACACACTACATACATTACTAGGAAATTTCTAAAAACTAGGAAAATGCTGATTCCAATTCACCAAAGCACTTACATGCTTAAATAAGGTCTGCAGCTCTTCCAGCCTTATGAGCTAGACATGAAATGCAAATAACTTGGCGACAGAGTTTGTCATGAGTCATTAGCCTCTTAAGCTTAGTCTTTTCCTTCCACCAATGCCTACAAATTTACACGGAAGTAGATTCCTAACCATTTTTATCTAGGCAAAATTCATTACTGTATTTCATCAATCTAAGATGCCATCAATTGTAAGACTCATCAGTATTTTACGAACCACTGAGAAAAGAAAAAAGGCCAATTAAAGTATGCTTTAGCATCAGTTTAAAATACACCAATTTCAGGGATATTAAATTGTGAAAAATACGTGCCTCACTGAAGAGATGAAATACAGGAGCTGATTTTAAAGGCTGTTGTCTCTTCTCACTCCTCAAGTGTCTGTTGACATATTTTTAATGTAGGATTAAAGTTAATGGGACCATTTTTTTTTTTTTTTCTGAAAATGAACTTTTGGTTTCACTGCCTTCTGGATATATAGTATTTTGGCTAGTTTTTCAAGGTTGAAATTTCCAACATTTTACCAAAAACGTCACTGTTACTTCAAACAGGTGATCTCAGGAATGTGAATATTTGGTAGGAAAAGAGGAAGAACGAGGTAGACTAGAGAAAAGACAAAGTCCAAGTTGTCAACCATCGTTTTCAACATTCTAACTTAAAATTTTTTTAAAAACGTTATATTGTAAAAAGGAACAACCAACTGTTCTGGAGCCTTAAAAAAATCAAGAGACCTTAAACCAGGCTTGAGAAAACTCTAACAAGGCAAATTTTATTTTTTTCAAGTTATAAAAATATGTCCATGTCAAAAATACAGTCTAGCCCATATAAGAGTAGTTCCAGCCATTTAAAAGTTATACAGAATTTGGAAAAAGCAATTAATATACAAGTCTGAAAACACTGAGCTCATAAACAGTACACAACCACTCATTTCAGTTATTGCTTGTTATACGCAGCTTTTACTTGAAACTCTTCCTCTTAAGGGAAAGGGCAATATTTGGGCAATCTGATGATTGTTGCTGCTAAAGCTGTGGTTTTAAAAAGCCAATCCAAAATTAGAATAAACTTACTTTGAGTAGAATATAATGTGTAAAGTTTAGCCAGTACTACAAGAAGGTAGGAAGGTGTGGTCTAAATTTGAGTTCCATCCCCTTCTACTTAATTCTATTTTGCTAATATATCAGAAATGTAATGTGTAGTTTGCGACGAGTAAATGAATCACCAATTTTCAAATTAAATGACAAGGAACATTAACTTTGAGTTGCAAGGTAGAAACAAAGCTGGCACACCTAGTGTAAAAACATGAAAACAATAAATTCAAGAATGGAGAAACATTTAAAGCTTAACCAAAAACCAAAGCTAGATTTCTTTCTCTCTAGATGTTGAGACATAAAATGAATCAACTGGTTCTTTTGAAGTTTATGGGCTTATGAAGATCTGCTGTTCTGTTTTCTCTAAAAAGACAAAGTGTTAGCCACATAACAGGAACATGTTTTATCATGTTTAACAGATCTATTTGCTCAATGCCATATGGAAGAATAAATCATGAGATTAAATAATTTTAACTTTAAGTAGTAAAAAGACCATGCAGTTGACAGTGTAAACACAGAGAACAAATCACTCACTTTGGGGCTGGGTAGTACATAGGAGACTTTTGGCCTGAAGTTCACATGGAAGACTTAGAAGTTAAGGGTCCCAAAGAGGGAGTGATGGCTTTGTTTCCAACTTTCCTGTCAGACCCTGTTGGAGGGTCAGGCTTATTGCTGACATTTTACCCCCATAAGTTCTTGAATAAACTGAGACATATACTAGTGATAAGTATGAGGCGAACTGGAAAAACCTTTAAAAATAATTCTTAGAACAAAAGTGGCCTTCATGACCATTTGGTTAGGATACTTATTAATGACTTAAATCCTAAAATTAGGCTACATTTTTAGGAGGTAGAAAGAAGTACCAAAAGTGTACCATTTGGCCACCCCGCCTTGCTTTTGCCCAACCTCGGATCTCTACACTTCTCATTCTCCCATTAAAGCTCTTAGTACTACTACGATTCACTATCTAAAGTTATAGACCTGGAGCTGCCAAGAAAAAGCTTTCTTAAGAAGTTTTGCTTTTAAGCCACTGAGTGTATCTAACACTCAGGTATCAATCGAGAACATTTTACACCTCTCTAGTAGATTAATTCACTTAAGAAAACATGCCAACATAAAAAAAAAACACCTACATTACTTAACATAAAAAGACTACTAAACATCTCTACATGCCATTCTAGTATGTCAGAGTACTTATGTAAACCTAAATTAGTAATGTGTTCATTGAACCGATTTGAAAAAGCCTCATATTTAAACTGCATTACCAGTGTTTACCAAAAATAGGTACATGTTGTACTACAAAATTAGCCTAATAACAAACAAAAAAAAACACTCCACTCTCTCCTCCCAGAGAGTTACATTGTGCTGATATCCCATAGACAGTACTATAAAAGGATTTCATTTTTGCAATACACTGGGCTCACAGTGAGTATATTAGTACAGAGACCACGGGTTTAATGTTACTGTAAGAATGTCATTAGTGAAACATATATAAGGCATGTAGAAAACTAACATTAAAGCTCTTAAGGGCAATGATCTAAACTGGCAGCTGCTAGAAAAGGTGCTGCTAGGAGTAAAAAATATTAAAGAAATTCAATTTCAGCACATACTAATTTTTAACGTTTCCACAATGCAATGAACTACTACTTCTAAGTTTCTACTGCTGGAACTAATGGACCAAAAGAGAATGGACTTTTGCCCCCTTTAACTACTTCCCCAATCTTGAAAACGGAAGCAGTCGCTTGCAATCTTCCACACGATATCAGGAGTAGACTGAGCAGTCAGCAGGAAGTTCTGGTTGAAGTAGTGTTGTCTGTTTCCATCAAACTTCACGGTTCCACTGGTCACCACAAGAACTGTAGCCTGGGACTGAGTAGCTTGCTCTTCACCCACACAAACAAAGAGAAGAGGTTGGATTCTCTCTCAAAGTAAGCAGATTTCTAGGTTTAAACTACACTGCCTAAAATTTTTTTTTCCTTTTTTTTCCTTTTTTTTTTTTTTTTTTTTCTTGCGTTATGCGGGCCTCTCACTGTCGTGGCCTCTCCCATTTGCGGAGCACAGGCTCCGGACGCGCAGGCCCAGCGGCCATGGCTCACGGGCCCAGCCGCTCCGCGGCATGTGGGATCCTCCCGAAACGGGGCACGAACCCGCGTCTCCTGCATCAGCAGGCGGACTCTCAAGCACTGCGCCACCAGGGAAGCCCCTGCCTAAAATTTAACACTAAAAAAAGTTTCATAAACTTTCTTTACTTTGCACATTATCTTGAGCATGTGCACCCAAAGCCAGAAAACTCAATAATCATTTCAAAGATATTAACATTATTTTCAGGCCAGAAAGATTTTGGGTGCTCTAAAGTTTAAAAATAAAAAGCTTCTATCTAGAATAGGACCCTTTGGTTGCTGTATTTATTAATATTTCATTGGGTTTCTAAAAGAGTTTTGTCGTATTTTGCTTCTTAAGCTTTCTTTTCAAGAACCATAAAGGAAAAAAAAAATCACATTCAACTACTACTTAAGATGCTTAGGACCCCACCTAGAGGTTAACCTTATAAACTGCATCAATCTACTACCTTGAATCAAATTCTGTCTTGCCAAAAGTCATCCTTTCACATAACAGAGTCAATTTCTGTGAAATTTTAATAGGTTGTAAGATAATAAAACACATTAATCAGAGATAAGGTATAATCTTTCTCTGGAGACATTTCAAGGTACAGAAGGCATCAATCTATTTAGGGAAAATAGTCATTCCTCTCCATTAACAAAAATCATATTAAGGCTCAATTTGTCACATGACTTTTACTAAGCCATAATCACTCAATCCACCAAAACCTACTAGTGGTCCTCTGGAGAGAGATACATCTAAAGGGAGAGACCAAAAGTTTGATTTGACAGCCAAATTCTTCATATTTAATTTGCTCAAAAAAGTAATTATTTCTACCACTGAAAGTCTCTAGCTGCTTTTGGTGTTAAAATTCACTGCTCACTAAAGGAAAACAAAGGAAGTATCTTAAAAGACCATGATCTTACCATGAACTGGCTGGCAATCCAGCATATTGACCTGAAACTCACTAGAAGGCAACGTGTCAAAAAACTTAGTTAGGGCTTCCAGCCCTGTTACAACATTTCCATTCCATACTAAAGTGGCCTTGTCCAGATACAGCCTGGTTAGTGCCTAAAAAGAAAGAAAAAAGAAAAAAAGGGAAAGTTTTTTGTTTCTGGGTATCTTATAGAAATGGAGTGAAAGGTTACAGGTAGTATCTAAACATTTGTATTGTTCTTCCTCCATCTCTCCTTCCCTTGCCCCCTCTCATGGGAAGACAGTGTCAACAAGGTATGTGCCTTATAATGTTGGCTTTAAATAGACATTATCCTGCTTTTAATAAACTAGGCAGCTAGCTAAATACTTTTTTTTCATATTTCACTTTAGCCACACTGAGAAAATTGTGTATCAAACTGGAAGAGTTTTTTTTTTCAAGTTTTGCTCTCTGTATTAAAATAAATTAAATGATCACAGGTTTCAAGCCCATGCGGCCCCGAACCAGTTTTAATCTCCCTCCCTTTTCTAATTCTGTGAATTAACAAATTTGTCAATCAGGCCCTACCTGTACACGTCAATCCTAGTGTTTATATACATGTGAGTTATTTAATGTTTGAACCATTTCATGTTGTATGTGTTAGGAAGCATTCGTTCCTTTTACCACTATGGAAATAGCATATTTAGTTCAAAAGAATCAGGAGTACTTGCTAAAGCAGAGTCTTTGATAAGTCAAGTAAGTTAAAGCTCAAATAAGGCAGAATTCAAGAGTTAACTTTTTCGTCCCAGGAGTCAGTCACAGGAATTTAGTGTGTCACAGGACACATTTGCTTAGCTCTAAAATTTAACTTTGATTAAAGGGCCAACACACATCTGGACTCTGGAAATGAACTATGTTTCCTTTTTTTTTGGGCTACTTTGTCTTTGAAGGCACCAAGGCACAATAAGCGTCCATTGTTACGTCGCTTGCCCCTGTCCCTTGTCATCAAACGTCAGTATCAAGAACTTTTTAATCTTCTGCCTTAACAAAATAGTTTTTAGAGATACTAACTTCTGTACCTACAGCATAGACAAAGTTCTCCAAAACATAGTCCTATTCCGATAAGAGACCTAGGCAAGACTCTCCAGCACATACTGAAATAGTTACTTAGAAGATATGGCTCAGGGATAAATCACAATGAAAAAAGCTGATGAACTCAGAACTTGCTCTGCTGAAGACTAAAAGTATCCAAGCCATGCAGATTCTGTTTGTGAGTGCCAGCTACAGCTGTGAGCTTTAATTGAAAATTATCAATTAATATATGAATTTAAAGGGGCAAATCAGGGAACAGTCCCTATAATGCAGACCCCCTTCACTAGCATGAATACTATTTTAACCATATTGGTTATACAATGGAAGAAACAAAATGTAACATATTTAAGTAAATATACATTGGGTCCCATGGTAAGTGCAGTAGTTAAGTTAATTCCCATTTACCACCCTAACAATAAAATGAGGTTAAGAGAGGTTAGCAACTTGCCCAGGGTCACAGAGCTTGGCAAACACAAAGCTGGGGTATGATTCCAGAGTCCACACTTCCATAATGCCATACCAACCCTTCCTTAAGCAATGTGCTTTTAAAGAACACAGCTATCACTTATGCAAGTCAGATGAATGGCTGGATCAGATTTTTAAAAAAAAAGAAGAAAGAACTGGTATTTAATAAAGAGTAGTAGTCTATAACACTCACCTGTCTTCTCTTGTCCATTGTCTCATAGTAAATACTGACAAATTCCTCAGCAGCTCTGCATGCCTGATCTACATAAATTTTAAAATCCTACAAGAAAAATTTCATTAAAGTGTACATTACCACCCCTCCAACCCCTCACAAACACAAAATCACCAACAAAAGCTGATGATTTATTTCAATCACTTTGTAGCTCCATACACAGTCCACATTTTTCCACATAAATTTGGACATTTTTAACGTTAGGGCTCAAGTTTCCAATTTTCATTATTTTTAAGAATGTATCTTTAGGAAATATTCATCCTCGATTAGTCAATTTCACTTTTTTTCTTACTTTAAATATAAATTTATAATCTTTGCTTGGCAACTGGTACTTTAGGCTCCCAGTATTTTACAAAACATTTACCTTAATAAAAATTATGCGGTCTGCACCTTAAAAAAAAAAGAAAAAAGAGAGACGGGGCGGGCGCGGATTGCCATTGAATAAGTTAGGAGACAAGCGAGAAGTTATTCAAAAGTAGTTGAGTGGGGAAAAAAAAATGGAATAAGTTCAATGAACTTGTTTGAAAAGCTAGGTACCTAGGAAACGTCCTCACATTACGTAAAAATTCACCGGCGTTTGTAAAGGATTTTAAAACCGAAGCAAATAAATGCTGTTGCGGTTTTCTCCTTCAGGAAGATTAAGTACTTTCTTCCCCAGCCATTTACCAGTCCAGCCTATTATCTGAATTAAGAACTAGTTTCGTTTCTGTCTCAGTCAGCTGAAAGTTATTTAGATCGAGAAAAGATTACAAGCCATAAGCAACAGACCCCAACATTCCGGACTCTCGCTATTTCCCATCTCAGGGTCCTTTCCAGGATCGGAAAAGCGACTGCACGGCCCTGGAGGTGGGCGGTCGGGGGTATAGTGGGGGCTGCAGAGGGCGGGCCCCGCCCCCGGCGCCTGGCGGGCCGGACCCTGATTCGCCGCTTGACCACGTGACAAGCAGCCAGCCCGCCCCAGAACCCCTCCCCTCAGCCGCCCGCGCCCGGGCACCCTGCCGCGGCCGGGGCACTCACCATGGGCTTGGCCATCGGGCTGCTGCCAGTAGCCCGTTCCGACGGTGAAGGATTCGCTGAGTCCCGTCGTGTCCTGCTTCCTTGCCTGCGGGATGATCAAATACTTAGGAAGACCGAGAAACCCGCCAAACCCACAGAATTCTCTGCCCGCCCATTCTCTCCCGGAAGCAACTCGGTCCGCTGTTAAAAGCACCCCGATGTACCAACCTTAAGTTCAATTCTCTTCAGTTCCGACCGTACCCTCCCATCCGCCTTATGTATTCACTCGTTTGATATTTATTAACTTAGTTTGGAAGAAAAAAACACTCTGCTTTTGCAGCTGGACAATTTTAACAAAAGTATCCATTTCTCCAACATGCCCAAGGACAGCAAAAAAAGACCTATTTAAGGCGTCCAATGGGGAGACTTCTTTGCTCCAGGAGGTGGGGCCAGGGCTAGGCGAACACCAGCGAGGAACGCTAGGAGACCTACCTGACCTGTAGCTAACCGGAAAAAAGGGTGAAGCTTGGGGAAAAGCGTGCGACCGTACTGCACATGCCTGGTAGACAAACTGCTTACAGTTCTGGAGCCTTCTGGAAACACCAATCTTCACCGAATTAAACCCCAGCGTCTCAGTAGTAGTCCTAAAATCATTCACTATTTTGATTTGGCACTATTCTGTGGAAAAGGTTCGTTTCGTTCTATTCTGAAAGGTCTTGCAGACCTCAAATGAAGATTAGTCTCTAGGGCCATTCACCACCTTCCACAACGCACCCTCTAAAAATATTTAAAATGTTACCGAGTGGTGACCGCAAGCAAGGTACTTTTCTAAGCATTTGAACCCCATATTCACTTCTTACAATAACGCTATGAGGTAATCATCTCTGTTATACAATTAAGACACAGAGTGATTAAGTAACCTGCTTAGGGTCACAAACTGGGATTCAAGCTCAAGCAGTTTAACTACCACTTCAACCGGCCTCGACTCCCCAGCGTCCTTCAAAACCGCTCATCTCAAAGTCCCCAACAAACCCGATATCTCGACAGTCTTACCGCCCGTGGCTGGTGTGTGGCTTCTCATAAGCATCACCACTGCCTCCTTGGTGTCTTCCTCTGTCTCCCTGAAACAAGTTACTCCTGAATCTTCTCATACTTGAAGCTGAATTTTTCGCGGCGGCCACGCCTCCGTTTCCTCAGGCTCTAACGGCTGCGACTTCCCAGCATGCCCCGTGCCCCGCTCTGAGCGCCGTTTATTGCGTCACTTCCGGTGGCGACTTCCGCTTAAAACCGCACTCCTCTGAGGTGGTCTCAATCGTTACTTGTTTGCTACTGAGTCTCAATACATTGCCAGCACCGCCCTCAACCTCTTCTCTGGGCTCCAATTCTAAGTGTTGAATTTGCCTAAGCATGAACACCGGAACGCACTACAGGCTTCTCAAACTCGGGGAGTCCAAAATTTAAACACATTATTTCCTCTGCACTTCCAGTATTCTTTCAGTCATCTATGCTTGAATTCTTGGAATATTTTTTTTGGTGTCTTCCCCCGCCATCATCATAATTCATTCCTTCATTCAACAAATACCTATTGAACACACACTATGGGTCAGGCATTGTGCAAGGTTCTGGATATACAGTGGTGAGCAAAATAGACATGATCTATACCCTCATGAAGCTCACAATGTAATTGCGAGTCACAGACAAAAAACAAAACAATGAATTACAGAGGAGTTCCAAGTAACTTGCCCAATTCTGCCCATTCTTTTTTTTTTTTCGGTACGTGGGCCTCTCACTGTTGTGGCCTCTCCCATTGTGGAGCACAGGCTCCAGACGCGCAGGCTCAGCGGCCATGGCTCACAGGCCCAGCCGCTCTGAGGCACGTGGGATCCTCCCAGGCCGCGGCATGAACCCGTGTCCCCTGCATCTGCAGGCGGATTCTCAACCACTGCACCACCAGGGAAGCCCTCTGCCCATTATTATTATTTTTTTTTTTTGTGGTACGTGGGCCTCTCTCACTGTTGTGGCCTCTCCCGTTGCGGAGCACAGGCTCCGGATGCGCAGGCTCAGCGGGCATGCCTCATGGGCCCAGCCGCTCCGCGGCACGTGGGATCCTCTGGGACCCGGGCATGAACCCGTGCCCCTTGCATCTGCAGGCGGATTCTCAACCACTGCACCACCAGGGAAGACCTCTGCCCATTATTATTATTATTTTTTTTTTGCGGTACTCGGGCCTCTCACAGTTGTGGCCTCTCCCGTTGCGGAGCACAGGCTCCAGACGCGCAGGCTCAGCGGCCATGGCTCACAGGCCCAGCCGCTCCGCGGCACGTGGGATCCTCCGGGACCCGGGCATGAACCCGTGTCCCCTGCATCGGCAGGCGGACTCTCAACCACTGCGTCACCAGGTAAGCCCTCTGCCCATTCTTTTTGTGTGTGTGTGTGTGTGTGTGGTACGCGGGCCTCTCACTCTTGTGGCCTCTCCCGTTGCAGAGCACAGGCTCCGGACGCGCAGGCTCAGCGGCCATGGCTCACGGGACCAGCCGCTAAGTGGCATGTGGGATCTTCCCGGACCGGGGCATGAATCCTTGTCCCCTGCATCCGCAGGCGGACTGTCAACCACTGCGCCACCAGGGAAGGCCTCTGCCCATTCTCTAAAGAAATTCTCTCTCTCACTCCCCTCTTTCTCTCTCCTCTATACACAAACTTTGACTTTGATTGCTCTATTCTGATTTTTCCAAAATTCTCCTAATCTTCTAAAGACCTATCTTGGTCTGGTCTGAGTTTACCCTTCCAGATTTCTCTCCCATTATTCACCAACATTGGCAAAGTTAACTGCTGTTAAACTACTGTTTACCAAAAGTGATTCATGTTTACTGCTTTATAGATAATTGCCTTTCTTGATTGAGAGCTTAGAATGTGTCTGGATTTATTATGATTTAATTCAATCCTCACAACCCCTGGAGAGGGAAATATTATCTACATTTTTAAGAATTTAAACTGAAGTTCACAGAGGTTAAGTAAGTTGGCCAAGGTGACGCAGCTAGTGGAGCTGGGATTTTAACTCACAACTGTCTGATCCCAGAATCTCTGTTCTTAGACACTTTGGTATTCATGCATTTGCTTATACTATGTTTATTTTGGAATGTTTGTTCCTTCCATTTACAACTGCCTTTCAGGGACCAGGGCAGGTACTGCCTCCTCCATGAAGCCTTCCCTCATTTCATGTCCCCAGAACCCCAGAAGATGTGACCTGTCCTTTGGCTATGAGGAGTGGCTATTGGTGTGGGGCAACAGTGCTGGGGGCTAGAGGAGCATTGGGAACACTGAAAAGGGACAAATGAGCTAGAAGTAAAGGGTAGGCTTAGAGTTTTGCACTGAATGTTTGCACAGAATTTTGTGCACTTTTATTGATGTGCTACAAGGATGGGAGGTTGGGTAAACTGATAACATGAAACCAAGCAGGACCCTGAGGGGCTTTCCTGGGGACAGAACATCCTATGTCTCCTGCCTCTTGTTTGTAGAAAAGCTTTAGCATCCTAGGCCATCCCTGAGTTATTTTTTTTTAATGTTTATTTGGCCACATCGGGTCTTAGTTGCGACACGTGGGCTTCTCTCTAGTTGTGGCATGTGGGTTTTCTCACTCTAGTTGTGGCGTGAGGGCTCCAGGGCATGTGGGCTCTGTAGTTGTGGCACATGGGCTCCAGAGTGCATGGGCTCTGTAGTTTGCGGTAGGCAGGCTCTCTCGCTGAGGTGTGCGAGCTCACTATTTGTAGCACATGGGCTTAGTTGCCCTGCAGCATGTGGGATCTTCGTTCCCCCACCAGGGATCGAATCTGCGTCCCCTGCATTGGAAGGTGGATTCTTTACCACTGGACCACCGGGAAGTCCCCCTTCCCTGTGTTCTAAAGAACAAATTTAATCAGAGAAGTAAAGAAACAAAGGAAAACAGTCAGGTAAGACAAAATAATAAGAAAGTAGCCATAAAACAAAGTCAAAGACCTTTAGTTCCTCCTTAGGGGCTATAGATAATATCCTGAGTTGTTTTGCAGATACTAAAACCCCCATCAGGTAGAAGAAGGTAACTGCTGACCACCAACACGTAGACTCCAGACCAGTTGGAACCAGAAGTTTGATGATGTTGGTGTTGACTTCCAAAATACCACCGAATTACCTCACCACCAACCAATCAGAAGAATGTCCATGAGCTGATCAGGCACCCTGAGACCCTCTCCCTTACCTTGCCTTTAAACCCTCTTCCCTGAAAGCTATCTGGCAGTTCGGGCCTTTTGAGCATGAGCTACCC